GGTGTATCCTTAAATATTTTGTGTGTTTGATGCTATTGTTAAAGGTAATTTTTTTAAAGATTGTTCTAAGGAGTGTACCTACCTGGTATAACTGTTCACTGGTATTGGTTTTTTAAATAATATTTTATTTGTTGTTGAAAATATGCACAGCAGAACATACACCAATTCAACAATTCCTACATGTATAATTCAGTGGCATTGATTACATTCTTCAAGTTTTGCAACCATTCTCGCCCTCCTTTTCTGAATTGCCCTTTCCCCATTATCAGGAACTCACTGCTTCCTAAACGTCCTATCTAATCTCATAGAGAGAGTTTCAACAGGCTGTCTAATCTATCTCCTTGCCTTACGACCAACTTGTACCAAAATTCCCAAATTCCTCCAACACTTAACTCCCTATACCTCAGATTTGCTGTGAGCAAAGAGGGATGAGTATTCCTGAGAATGTCTCTGTCACTAGTTTCCTATTTCTATCTCAGTAAGGATTCTTATCTATTGTAGGAATTATATATACCTAACTCCAAAAGAATCATACCAAGGTTTTGTTGTTATAGGATCATGGGAAATAGATCCAAAGGACTTGACATTCTTGAAGGAGCTGGGGACTGGACAGTTTGGGGTAGTGAAGTATGGGAAATGGAGAGGCCAGTATGATGTGGCCATCAAGATGATCAAAGAAGGCTCCATGTCCGAGGATGAGTTCATTGAAGAAGCCAAAGTCATGATGTGAGTTATAGCCCAAACTCAACTCTCCAACCAGTTGCTGGAGTCTAAGAATTACCAAGATAGCATATTGTGGTTTAAGATGACTTACAGTGAGAAACATTTGAGACCAGGGCCTGAGGTCAACCTTTGATTTGTGGGAGATATAACTGCTAAGGTAATCCTTTCTCTGCCTTAGGTATCGATTGAGAATAGTATCGATCATGGGTGGGTACCATCTCAGTGACACTTGTGGGTAGATGTAGAAAATGAGACTATGAAAAGAAAGTGGTTCTAACTTAGCCTTGACATTCATTCAGCTCTGGACTTGTTTCCTGCTCTATTAATGGGTTCTAAATCCCTGCTCACTCCCAAATATTAGGCACTTGGGGTTTGGGGTGGGGAGGAGGAAAGTCAACCTGCTGTTATGGTCCTTTATTGGGTGCTCTACTTCTAGGCCAACCCCTTTTTCCCCAGCCCCTTTATGACTAGTACGTAGAGCCAGAAGGAGAGGACTGGTTCATTGCCCCTTCTGTAGGAATCTTTCCCATGAGAAGCTCGTGCAGTTGTATGGCGTCTGCACCAAACAGCGCCCCATCTTCATCATCACTGAGTACATGGCCAATGGCTGCCTCCTGAACTACCTGAGGGAGATGCGCCACCGCTTCCAGACTCAGCAGCTGCTGGAGATGTGCAAGGATGTCTGTGAAGCCATGGAATACCTGGAGTCAAAGCAGTTCCTTCACCGAGACCTGGTGGGACTTCAGGAGCATTGGCCTGGGGCCAAGGGCTGAGAGGGTGGAAGTAGCAGTGGCAGATATATTACACATTGATGGGGAGGGTTACTGGTGCCATTATTTATGTTGTATCTAGAAAACACTAAAAGTTGTGCCTCTGCCCCCTTGGTGAGCCAGTCAAGTACCTCTAGCCTCAAATCCATGGGTTTTGCCATGGTGGGTGCTAGAGCAGTCACTCTCCTCCAATCCCCTACCACCCAAAAGGAAATCGTGGGGTCCTTCAGTGGCCATTCTAGACTTGGAACAGAAGGGCAACCCTGTGCTTCCCAAAGAGACTGCTCCTGGCTCAGAGCTGTCATTTGGTTACATCAGAGTCACAAGCTGGTGACTTGTGGGTGTATTTGGTCCACTGGGTTTAAAATGAAAATGTTCTATGGTAGGTAGCAATCACTTAAGAAGAGACATTTCACATTAAAAACAAACAAACAACCCGGAATTTTCCAGCTTTTCTTAACAATCTGGACCACTGTGTAACACCGGCCTAGTGTGCTCACGGACCATGCTAACAGTCAGCAGGAGCTGCCTCCTTTAGATCAGGCACACACTCTCCCTTCTCCCGCAGTCACCACTCTGTGGCTTTCCCAACTGGGCCCTGGTGGCATCTGAGTTTGTGTCCCTATTTGTTTGAGCTGGGCTCAAATTGCCCCTCCTCCCACCGGCAGAAAAGCAGAAAACAAAACAAACTTCTCTTCTGTTCTCCTTTAATTCTCTCAGCTTTTCAGGGAATGTGTGTTGGGTGTCATGGAATTTCCCAAGTGAATGAAATTGTTCTGCATGTCTTCAGGGCTTCACTTATGACAACACAGTAGGCTGCTTTGCATGTGGCAAAAATGCATCAACATGTCTTAGGAGCATCAACTGACTCTTATTAAGGCATCTAGTTGAAAGACATGAAATTCCCCAGGTTTCATTCCCCCAGTGGGCAGAAGCTTTGTGCCTTTAACCTACGTGTCAGGGACAAAGTCTCACTGGTATTTGTCACACTGCAGGCTGCTCGAAACTGTTTGGTAAATGACCAAGGCGTTGTTAAAGTATCTGACTTTGGCCTCTCCAGGTGAGTGTGCACTTTTCACCGTTCCCTTTAAAAGTAAAAATATCACCCTACAAAGATGAGGAGACGTTATAGTTTTGAATCCCCTTTTTTCTTTTTCTCTCCTTCTAGTGTTTTCTACCATCTGCTTATTCCTTTTCTGCCTCTGACGTATTTAAGTCACATCCCTCACCCTTTTGCTTTATTGTGCTATCCCTCTCTTCTTTCTCCCTGCCCCCTGTCTCTGTTAGTGATTATCCCCAAACCTTACCTTCATTTGTTAATCCTGTTGACTTTGCTCCATCCCTTCTTTAATAATCAGTCTAATTCCCACTGGCAATGGTAGAAGAGAAGGAGGAGGAGAACCAGGTGTGGAAAGGGGGATGGAGAAGAGGAAGGGAACACCTATTAGATGGACTTCTCTCCATCCTTCCTGTAATCCAAATGTTTCTCTGAAAAGCTAAATCAGATATGAAAAACAGGATTTTTTTTTTTTTTAAATTGCATTTGTAAAAACCACTGGTAGCCTAGCAAAGCCTTTTGCAAAAGCCTGTAAAGGGTATATTTGTGCAGTTCTTGCAACTGTGACAAGAAAAGTTAAGCAAATATCAAGTTCTTCAAATCCTGACTGTAATGAGTCCTGAATCCCTTGCAGGTATGTCCTGGATGATGAATATACAAGCTCAGTAGGTTCCAAATTTCCAGTCCGGTGGTCTCCACCAGAAGTCCTTATGTATAGCAAGTTCAGCAGCAAATCTGACATTTGGGCTTTTGGTAAGTGGATAGGATTGTACAGGCCAAAGGAAGAGGGATGCAATGGGAAAATTCACACTTTGCAACTCTCACAGAGAAGTGAAAGTTCTTGCTTTCATTCACCCCCTATTTAACCAAACCAAACCAAACTCACTGCCATTGAGTTGATTCCAACTCATAGCGACCCTCATTGGGTTTCCAAGGCGGTAAATCTTTATGGAAGTAGGTTGCCCCATCTGCCTTCCGCAGAGCAGCTGGTGGGTTTGAACCACCAGCCTTGTGGTTGGCAGTCAAATGCCTTAGGCACTGCACCACCAGAGCTCCTTTTACCCCATACTTATGGAGTGCCTACTACGCATCAGGCACCACAGGCATTGCTGGGGATGACAACAGTAAACTCCAATGATTCCTGCCTGCTTAGAACTTGCAACATATCGGAGGAAACTAACAATTCATTCAGTATTTGACATATTCTGAATGGTAATTATGTGGTGGCGCAGTGGTTAGAAGCTCAGCTGCTAACCGAAAGGTTGCTGGTTGGAACCCACCAGCTGCTCTGCGGGAGAAGTGGCAATCGGCTTCCGTAAAGATTACAGCCTTGGAAACCCTGTGGAGCAGTTCTACTCTGTCATAGAGGGCCGCTATGAATTGGAGTAGACTCAACGACAACGAGTTTTGGTTAGTTACATACCAGGGACTCTGCCAGATCCTGTAACTACAAAGACAAATAAGATGCTGTCCCTCTCCTAACCAAACCAAACCAAACAAAACAAAAACACCATTGTCATGGAGTAAATTCCAAATCATGGCAACCCCTATATGTTACAGAGTAGAACTGTCCCTAGAATTTTCTTCGCTATAATCTTTACAGAAGCAGTTTGCCAGACCTTTCTTCTGTGGCACCCTGCAAACCTTTGGGTTAGTAACAAAAAAACAAACAAACTCTGCCGTCGAGTGGACTCTGACTCGTAGCGACCACTCCTTGGGTTTCCAAGGTGGTAAATCTTTATGGAAGTAGATCGCCCAGTCTTCCTGATGGGATTGCCCAGTGGCTGGTGGGTTTGAACTGCCAGCCTCTTGGTTAGCAGTCAAATACCTTAGGCACTACGCCACCAGAGCTTGCACCACCTAGGCACCTTGTCCCTGTCACAGAGAAGCTAATATTCTAGAACAGTCCTGATCACCATGCCATGTAGTCAGTACTATAGCAGAAATTTACACAAACGTAAAAAACACAGAGGACGGAACAGTTCTAATCTTTGAGGTTGATCTAGGAAGACTAGGACCCTCACTACCCAAAAAGACTGTCAATCAGCTAAACACAATTTTTTCTCGTCTTCTAGGGGTTTTGATGTGGGAAATCTACTCTCTAGGAAAGATGCCATATGAAAGATTTACTAACAGCGAGACTGCTGAACACATTGCCCAAGGCCTACGTCTCTACAGGCCACATCTGGCTTCAGAGAGGGTATACACCATCATGTACAGCTGCTGGCATGAGGTAAGTGTTTTTTTGTGACCTCTTAAATTATTTCCTTGAACCTACTTTCCCATATAACCTGCCAGGCACCCAGTCCCCCACTGTGGCTGCATGCCAGCTTGGCACAGAGTGATAGCTGCACATATTCCCTTATGCACCTCAAAACCAGTTATGGCCAGAGGCTTGCCCAAACCCAAAAAACCAAACTCACAGCCGTTGAGTCGATTCCAACTCATAGTGACCCCCAATGGGTTTCCAATGCACTAAATCTTTATAGAAGTAGACTGCCCCATCTTCCTTCCATGGAGCAGCTGGTGGGTTTGAACCACTTCTGGTTAGCAGTCAAATGCCTTATGCACTACGCCACCAGAGCTGCTTAGAGGCTTTCCCAGACCCACCCTAATTCTCACTAGAGTATCATCGTTGTTGATGTGGAGCTGATTCCAATCCACGGTGACTCCATGTGTGCAGAGTAAAACTGCTCTGTAAGATCTTTAAGGCTGTGACCTTTTGGCAAATTGCCAGGTCTGTCTTCTGAGGTGCCTCTGGGTGGGTTCAAACTACCAACCTTTCAGCTATTAATCAAGTGCCTAACCATTTGTGTCACCCAGTGACCACAAAGTATCACTGTTGTTGTTGTTAGGTGCCATGGAGTTAGCTTGGACTTACAGTGACCCTATGTACAACAGAATGAAACACTGCCCGGTCCTGCACCAGCCTCACAATGCTTGCTATACATGAGCCCAAAGTATACTATACAAAGTATCATTAGTAGACTCTTGTACCAACTCAGTTTTAGGAAGAGGGAGTATTGTGGGGCCATGTCATCTAGGAAAATCAGGTAGCCAAAGACACCCAGATAAGCATATGGACATTAAAAATGAAAAGTCATTAAAGTTTAAGTTCATTCCTTTGGGAGTCATTGGCCCTTTCTTCTGCTTTATTAGCTACCAACCTTTTCTGCCTGAGGGCCCCAATGCGATTACTTTTTAACCCTAAGACATGAAAAGGAACTAAAATAAGTAGTACTTTTTTTTTCTTTTCAATATAGTACACTGTGGGGTAGGTAGGTGGATGTGGTATTTTGGAATAAGGAATCTGTCCTACTATTACTAAATGCTTCACTGCTTTCACACTGGGTTCTTCCAGAGACGCCTTCTCCACTTTTCAGCAGACCTTGGGCAACTTAACTTGACAATCTAAATCTCTTGTAGGAAATAAATGTCTATCTCTTAGGTCTGCCTCTGCTTGAAACAGGAAAGATATGTCCAATAAGCACATATGTGAATCTGAAGCCTCCTTGGTGAGGCCAAGAGTGGGTATCCGGAGTCAGAACACGGCCCCTTGCCCTTGAACAAATGACAGAAGTCATACGGAAAGTGTGAACAGTTTACTGGTCTGATAGAGCCTGGTGAGACCCGTGAGACTATGGCCCCCAGTTACCCTTCAGGCCTGGAATTGAACTCACTCTCATGGCTTCCAACCAAATAATAGATAGGCATATAGGGTGGACATTTACATCAGGTAGATACACTCCTTGGAATGATCAATCAAGGGAAAACAGAAGGCCAGTATTTGCATAGGGAGATAGCTCAGGGGGCAGGAATGCTTAAGAAAGGACACAGGGAAGAGGTAACTAGGGAGGAAGTGGGAAGAGACCTGTTACATTGTGGGGATTGTAGTCGATGTCATGAAACAAAATGTGTATGAACTGCTGTGTGGAAAATGAATTTGCTCTGT